CTTTAAGATTGACTGGTTTGACCTCCTAGCAGTCCAGGGGACTCTCAAGAGTTTTCTCCAGCACCAGTCAGTTTCATAATAGACTGTTAGTCTCTGATCTTCCATTGACAGATGCATTAACTAAACTGAGAAAATAACTTGAAAACTTGTAGTGTGAAACATCAGAAGAGAAGGTAAACTGGCAAGCAACATGCCGCTGAAGCATTTAGATGAACTCCATTAGAAGAGAATCTCTGTAGCTCAGGACTGAACTGTGGAGTCTTGGGTGCTGTCTGAGCTTGGCTGTTTGCTCACAGATGTTTCATTACCTGACTAGCTAACATCATCAGTTACACAACAGCCCCAACGAGGTTACCTACTCAGGTAATGAACCATCTGCAAGCAAACAACCAAGCTCAGAGTGCACCAAGGACTCCACAGATGACCTCCATGTTTCTTACAGGCTCCAAATTCAGCAAAGCTCAGTCTTGAACTGGAGATTGTAAATCCTGTCCTATTTTTGTGGAAATAACTTCATTCTCTGGATGTTCTTCCTCTCTCTGCTCAGCCCCTGCCTCCTTCCCGGTGTGTGGAACGCTGCCGTCCTGGATTCATGAAGATGGCTCAGGATGGAGAGCCCATCTGCTGCTACGACTGTCTTCCTTGCGCAGAAGGAACCATCTCCACCATGGAAGGTGGGTGAGAATGGAGGAAAGGGGCAGGTTTTTAGGGAGAATCTTTATCCAGATATTTGCCATGAAAAGGCTTTTGGAAGTCATTTCTACATGTGTCTCTTTATTATTCAATTTTTTAAAATAAAGTTCATTATTGATTTCATGGTGGCTGATTATTTTACAATTTCAATATAACACATTTTATTTACTATTACTGTATGTATTCATTTCTATTAGATTTGGGATGTTATCTATAATTTCATAGTGAAGATGAAATGATCCTGGAGATGATCCCTCCCTTCTTCCTTCCTCCCTCCCTCCCTCCCTCCCTCTGATGGAATCATGAAATGTTGAAGAAGAGGAGGAGAAAGAAAGAAAGAAAGAAAGAAAGAAAGAAAGAAAGAAAGAAAGAAAGAAAGAAAGAAAGAAA